CTGTAGAGGGCAGTGTCACTGGCCCTCATATGTGGGATCCGAACTGGGGCCCTCTGGCATCCCAAGCCAGCTCTTAACCAATGTGCCACTCGGCCTGCCCTCCATTCCACTTGTTAACGCTTTCATGGGAAACCCGGGATATGTGATTTATCCTATCATTTTTGTGTCAAGGAGATTTTGGTTTACAGTTTGTACTTGAGGTCAACTCTTGATTTTCTCTGGTATGGAGGTGTTCTGGGGCTATGATAAAAGCAATCTATAGATAATAACTAACTCAGTCACCTAACTTAATATTAGAGCTATTAACAAGTAATAAATTTGTTCATTTCATGCCATAGCTTTCTGTCCATCTTCTGAAAGAGGTGCTAAGTGGACAGTGAAATGAACAGCAAGTAAAGGGGGGAAGAGTATTCCATCCATACACATACCCTAACAAGGGTGATTCTGGTTTTTAAAAAACGCAGAAAGTTAGTTCAATTTATTTCCTGATTCTGATTTTTAAAAAACGCAAAAAGTTAGTAACTCAACTTATTTCCCTTAACTTCAATTTTCAGGTCTTGGTTTTATTATTATTTTTCCTAGTCTTCTCAAAGCCACTGCATTTGGCTGCTAATCTTCACACAGGTGTCATTTTTGCTTCTTCTCCCACACGTTCTTCTACATCCCAGTCTTCACCCCCCTCCCTCCGCGGTTGGTGTTGATTTCTCACTTCTCAAAGCACCTGGCACCACCAGTGAAGCACCTCCTGATTCCTTAGGGGCTTCAGCTTTGAAGATGGGCATGGTTCCAAATCAAGTTATTCTCCGTAGGACAGAAATAAGCGAGGCTTCTAATATGTAATCAAAGCACTCACTTCTCTGCCTCAGGTTCTTAATGATTGTAGCATTTTCAGCAAAGAGAGGTTCTCCCAACATAAACCTTCAAACAATACTGATGAATCACAAAGCCAAACTTGAAGTTTCTTATATAGATCCCACTCCTTTCTAAAGATTTCCTAGGGATAAAAACTGTGCATGATTTTAAATAAACTCCTAACTTCAAAAATTCAATTCCAGGTCTTATCAGCTCTTGTTTTCTGCTCTCCCATTTAAAAGCCACACCTGACAGGGGTGCTTTCTGCCATGGTGAGAAACTGTGTGAAATAACTGATCCACCAAATACTGTACTTGTTTTTGTCATTTTGATTGTAGAAGTGAAGGGTGAGCCAACACGGTCTGAGACTGAATAGGGCATTGCAAAGCTTTTGCAATGCAGTCCTGTCCTTCACCCGTGATGATGTGGGCACTGGGGCTTCTGACACACCCTTAGGAGGACAAAACCCAATCAGTCCCCCTCCGTGACTCACATGGCATCTGTGACATAAAGTCGGTGGCCAAGGAAACTTACACTGGATGAACCTTACACTGATAGAATTCTCTGAACAAGTGAGGTAACCAATCCCAAACAACGTTTTTTTAAATGCCCAGTTGTCTGTTATGGCCCCTTCCTTGAGTGAACTATCACAGGGGAATAAGGAAGCTGAGAAAAAATTGGTCCGACACAAATCTATAAAAACGTTAATGAGCTGAGTATCTCAGAGTAACATTGTGCATATCTGTGAAACACATTGCTTTAAAAGACCTTGTCTGAAAAAAAATGGGTGCAACTGTATAAACACTCCCTCTCTCATATCTCCTGCACCTCTAGAATAAAAATAAAGAGGTGTACCTGCATACTTGGGTTTATAAGGTACCTTCCTTCTGAAGAGCACAAGGTTCCCTCAGGGGTATGATCGGTTATTTTTGCAATGTCCTCAAGAGATATGAAGGGGAAATGGAGGGGAAACTGAGGAACAGACAGAGTTCAATGAAGTGACGGGTTGCAGTCACTGAAGTGATACAGAATGATTTAAACCAGGGTCTCCTGATTCCCTATTTTCTCAGTTGTCTGACCTTCTACCTAGTTAGTTCTTTTTTCACTGAGCTTACCCGCTAAAGAATGCTTATGAATGAGTGTAACTTCCTTATTTGTGTTAGCCTTATTTATAAAGTCTAAGAAAGATGCTTTAGCTCGCGTGATCTGGCATCATCGTTCATCACAGAGTAAGGAAGCACTGCTGAGGGGCGTGCAGCCATCTAACCACGCTACTCGGGTGCTTAGATGAGCGCTGCTTACACCTCTGGTGAAGCACAATTCTACTTTCTAATCAGCCCCTAGGGACACCAACCCTGGGAACACCAGAAGCATCTGGAAAAGCAACAAATTCATATATTCCGAAGTCATCCAGAGCATCTTCATGGCCTGAAATGGAAAACAAACATCACTTACAAACCAAATGCCTCCACTTGCCATTGTTTTTTAAGACTTTGTAAAACTGATCTTTATTGTTTGCTTTAAGTGGTATGTGTATAAAACCAATTTAACATTTCCTAATCCCCTGTGGTCATATCGCCACTAAGCAGTGCTGGAAATCACTCCTTCTGAAGCTGAGAATTGACACTGAGCTGGGACAGTTATTCTTCAAGTCTGATGTGGGAATAGTATGTTATATATTCAGATAAGCACATGAGGGCTGGCTTGTCCTTTGTAATTCTCAGTTACCAGAGATTTATGGCCATCGAGGCTTTAGCCTGGCAGTCACAGCAGCCCTGAATCCACCCATAATATCTACTGTACCCTGCTAGATTTAATAGAGACAACCAGGGCTGATAAGAATACATAAGTAATGATAGCCCGCCCAGAGGTACAAAATATAATACAACATAACGTCAAGATCGCCTAAACTATCATCTGAAAAACTACATGAGTGGGGTGGCTGGGCGGAACCAGATGGCCTGTTTGGGGCCTTTCCCAGCCCCAGCATTCTGTCATTTGTGAGAAAGGATGAGATAAGAGGAAGAAGACCGATTTGCTGAGCATTCAGGCATCATATTAGGCACTCCACCTACACCATGGTTTTTAATTCTCATAGCAACCCTGGGCGGGATTATTATTATCTTTATTATATAGATGAGGAGGTGGAGGTCAGGAAAAATCATTTTCCCAAGGTGACATTGGGGGAAAGTGGCATATATGGGACTGAAAGCCAGCTCTGTGTGACTTCAAAGCCCGAGCAAAAGTTCCCTTGTGAACTTAGAACTAGGGAGTCAGTAGTGAGGGCAGTGATAAGCATGCTGGGGACAAAAAGCTGCAACCCTGTCACGCCAGCCTTTCCTCTTCTCCCTGGGATGGAGCTGCCAGCATTGTATCGGCCTTAGGAATTAACAAAAAAAGAGAACCCTGGGCATTTTCAAAAGAATAATAATAGATCAATGGAATAGGAGCCAGCAAAACTCAGTGAAGGTGGGCTAGTGACCTAATCTCTCTGACTTGACTTAGTTCTGTTGCCTGTGGAATGGATGAGTACCTTTCACTCCTATGAGCACTTATCTTACAGACTTGGGTGACTCACAGAAAACCAATACAAGGGATAGCACTTTGTAAAGTGAAGGCACTGGTCAAAGGTAAGGGATTGTTAGTATAATATCAATATTAGCTTATGTGAATTCTATTATATCAACAGTACATTATATGTCATAATACCAACAATATTAATGAATATACATTACATTGATAATAGCCCCTTTCATCCTGGCCATTACCTGAAAAGGTTTGTGCTTTCCTGTATTCTGTTTCTGGCCTGAAAAGACAAATTGGCATTTCTTTCATTCTTAATAATTGAGGGAAAAACAGTCAAGAAAAAAAAACTATTTTCAAAGAAAAAAAATTATTTTCATAGAAACATGTGCATTACCTGCCTTCTAGCTTCTGTTTTATCACTAAAACCGAGAGAAAAAAATACAGTAAGATACTTTTTAGTACATGTATAACACCATTTAAAATTTTTTCTAATTTTAACCTACCTTTGTAGGGTTGATATTTTTTCCATAGGAGAAGCAGACACATGGATATAATCAAAAAGAGTGATATTCCAGTTATACTTGCTAAGGGGGACAATGATTTCCCTTTTTGTGCAAGCTTCTCCAGTCCTAAAGGAAAGGACAAATATATTTTTAGTTCTTTATTAAAGATCAATAATAAATTATAGTTTGACTTGTTTGTGCCTTATCTTAAATGAGACACTATTGCAAATATATATATATATATATATATACACACATATTTATATTTATATTTATATTTATATATATATATATGAGAAAATATGAATGAGAGAAATGAAATGAAAGGAATACACTTACGCTTATTTTAGGACACATGCAAACTCTCTAAGGATATCTGGGATTGGAACTGTGATGAGCTGCCCAGGATAATTAATACTGATACGCTGCACTAGAAATAGCAAATAGCTCATGTCATACTTTTCAATAGTGTTTGCCACCATTTAACTTAGATCTGTTTGATCTCATTGTAGACGAGATCCCCAGATGCTAGGTTTTCTCTCTTCTTCCATTTCACTCTTTCAGTATAATTCAGGTGTGTAAATTTTCTAGGGAGGTTGTATGTCATTAAAGGTGCAGAAGGGGAGGTGTTTGTTTCAAATACACTGTACTCACTTTTTTTTTTTAAGATTTTTTTGGGGAATTGTGGGGATGGCAACAGCGCTGGGGAATTGGGGGAAGGGGAACAGACAAGTTGCTGTCATTTTGTTCTTCAGTCTAGTTGTGGGGGATGTTGCTTCACTGGCCCAAGTTGGCACCATCATTGCGCTCTTCCCTGGTGAGGCAGATAAGTTGCCAGCTTCTGGACAGCCGCTCACAGCGGCTGCTGGCCGCTCACGCTGGCTGCTGGCTACATATGGTAGCCCATGGCAACCCACTGCCACAGGGGCTGCAGCCTATGCCATCACCAGCGACTCACAGAAGCCCAGCTCCAGGTTGAGCTGTTGTTCAGCATCTTAGCTGTAGAAGGCAGTGTCCCTGGCCCTCATATGTGGGATCCGAACCAGGGCTGTCTGGCGTCCCAAGCCAGTTCTTAACCATTGCGCCACTCGGCCAGCCCTGTACTCATTTTTGACCAATAAAGAGATTTTAATCTCTAAAATAGAATGTGTGTGATTGTCAGAATCATAAAGTTCACTTTGCTTTGCAAGTCATTCTTTTTATTAATATTCCTATATAAAATATAGTGCTAATAGCTAACATCTGCCGAGTGCTTACAATATGCCAGGCTCTAAGAGTGCATGATATATATCGACCCATTAAATTCTCACAACAATCTTACTAGGGGAGTATTATTATTGTTATCCCCTTGTAAAGATGATGAAGTTGAGGCTTGCCAAAGTCACTCAGGTAATAAGTGACAGAGTCCAGAGGGAACCCTAGGTTCGTGACACTTTGGGCTGCCTCACTTTAATGTTATTTATTTATTTTTATTTTTTAGCTGAGCCTTCCTGCCACCTGTTGGCAGCTCAGTGGCTGCTCAGCTTGGGCCGGGACTCGAACCGCTGTTGCTCAGAGCGCAAACTCTTGAGCAAGCTCTTAACCAACTGAGCCACTCGGCTGGCCCACTTTAATGTTATTTTAACTTATTAACCAGGGCAATGTTAACTCTAGTTGCAAACTATAATATGTTTAGTCATAGAGTTAATCTATAAAGTGGAAAGTAGTGGGGACCACCAACAAACACGGGTAACAGATATCTTTTGTATTATCATGTGAATCAGATACTGATGTGGAAATGAATCATGGAAGTTGCCTGTCTGTCCAGCTTAATGGGGTAGTGAAAGTCATGGGTGGGATGTCGCTTCCGTTCTGCAGTGGTGACAACAGCCTGGAGAATCTGGGTTTGTTGAAGCACATGGTGGCCACTCATCTCTGCAATAAATATCTAACCCGCACCCTGTCATCCTCCACTGTAAAACTTCTGCTGAGCCCCTGGACTCTGAGGGTCTGTATTTTCACATTAGTGAAATAAGGAGGTTAGAGTGGTTGTCCTTTAAGATCTCTTGTCGCTCTGATATTATATGATTGGGGCAGCCAGAGAGTTTTACATGAAGTTTATTATGTAAATAGGACATTTGATCCACTGGCATGCTAGTAACTGAGTCTCAAAAAAACCGTGTGCACATTCATACAAAAGTTACAATTTTGACTGATATAAAGGATGTATACCTCAGATAATTTAGAAATAATAGTAAAACACACAATACTCTTTATTTTTAATTCCATATAGTTAATTGATTCTCATGGGATGCTTTTGTTGAGTATAATATATGAGCATTATATATATATAAAACCAAATATGCATTTTTCCCATTTATTTGGTATAAATGTATCATGTCAGTAATAATGAAATTAAAAAAAAACCCACAAAGGTCCACTTCTAGGTACAGATATAGAAATGGTCTCAGAGAAAGTAAAATATTGGCCATAGTGAATAAGTCCTAGAACTGAGGCTGGAACACAGGTTTTTTTCTGACTGCCAGTTCAATTTTTCCCTGTTAATCTGTGGTCGAAGGGTGGTTTTGTAATTGGCAGGAGGCTCCTATACATTCAGTTTCCCCTCTAGCCTTTTCTAACGCCAGACTCGATGTGCTTCAATTCCCTCACTTCTTGGTAGCCAAACCGCCTTCACCAAAATTCAGTAACCTCTCACCCCTCAAAAAAATATTCAATGTTAATTTAGTCAAGTTTCGCAATGTGCTTTACCACAGAAAAACAGTTTAGTAGAGTCTCAGCTTTCTTTCCGTCTTAAACTTGAAAATATGCTAATAACTATTATTCAGAGCCCTTCTCGTTCGATGGGGAGGTTACATCCGGGCCTGCATCGGCTCTTTGCCAGGCACTTCCAGGATTCTGAAGCCTGGTAGTCGGTTTCACGTACAATGAATGGATGTCTCATCTTCTCCCCTCTCCTTCATGTTTCACTTTTTGTCACTTTTGCTGTGTGTTCCCTAAAATGACCAGATTTGCACATTCTGTCTACAGAGCACGCCTCTTACTTCCTTATTTCTGTAAACTCCTTCCTTATTGCCCTCTTGCCGCCCTTCCCCTTGGCCTCTGTTTGCTCTACATCTCTACGTCAGAGAACCAACCACCTTGTACTGACCAGCACCCGGGAGCCCAAAACCTTGGCTATGGCAAGGACCAAGCGTCCTCCGCTGGAGCTGAGGAACAGAGGTGGTCCTTTTCTTAGCACACATGATCTTTCCTGTGAGGCCCCCTTCTCAGAGCTCTAGAGCATCCGGGCTCCCTGCTCTAACACTGCTTCATTCTATCTCAGGATTTCTAGACACAAGATTTACCTGGTCCAGCATTTGAAGTTTGCTCCCTTTCACAAAATAAAAAGTGCCAGAGCATCAAATCAAGGGGCATAGTTGCTGTAGTCTCAACTCTGGGCAAGTGTGTTTAGGAGAGATGGACTTCCAGAAGCACAACTTGAAAGTAAGACAGCAGGGAAATTGTGACCCGATTGCCACAGAGAATGTACAGGGATCCTGAATGCAGTTCTGGACACTTGCAGGGGCCCTAGTATATCTCCTTTCTACTGGTTAGCATATAGCATGCCGTTCTCCCTATTATGTAAACATGATTGACTCATTTACCAAAGCCCTAGTGCAAATGCTATTTGCCCCCTCCTTCAGCAAACAAATAAAATGAAATAACATATTAAGTGCAAATATGGGCAAGAGGTGTGGTATCCATGGTACCGCAACCTGGCTGTTTGAGAGGCTGCACCCATAACAGGATAGCCATATGCTACCAGTCAGCATGCCTATTTCGAGATCAGAATGGAGTTCTGAGACAGTTCCCATCCAATCTGTTTGCTGATTATGACAGCTGATTCATGTCTCTACAGAGATAAAGGTGCCATATTGAAGGGCGTGCTACTGGGTTGTTGGAAAAGTCATGATGTATTTTTTCTATGTTTTTCATTGCAAAAATGCATCATGACTTTTCCGACAACCCAGTATTTCCACACTCCACCGTGGTGCCATCTGACAGACACAGTTATTCTGTGCTAGATGCTCATGGGGATGTCATCTAAAGCCTCAGAGTCTGGATGTCAGAGCTGTAGTTCTATCTCAGTCATTATTTCCAGTGGCCCAAGGTGAAATACATCTGCTGGACATCTTAACTTGAGAAATTTCTAGGTAGATGGAAGAAATTAGGAAATTCATTTTCCTGCCTTGGGTCATTTTCCTATTTCCTTCTTTATGAAAACATGTGCAATAGAAATAAATATAAAAATGAAAGATTTCTCAGGATCACATACAAATTAAAAATATTTCTATTATGTCTGAATCTCAAACTACAGCTATGTAGCCCTTGGGAACTCTAATAAATTTATACATTTGAATGTCTTCATTAAATGCGAACACTTAAATTCCAATAATAAATAGTTATATATATATATGTTATATATAAATAGTTATATATATATATACACACACACACACACACACACACACATATGTGGTCTGACAAGTTCACGAACTTGTTGCGACGATGTTGCTAACCTTTTTTTGATATCAGAGGGATTATTCATTAGAGGAATTATTCATCAGAGGAATTTGTGCCAACTGGACAAACAGTTAACCAAGTTTACTAATTGGAAATGCTGCAAAGCCTGCGTGAAAAAGTTAGATGACCTGAACTTTTCACCAACAATTCATGGCTCTTGCATCACAACAGTGCACTAGCTCACACGGCACTGTCTGTGAGGGAGGTTTTAGCCAGTAAACAAAATGCTGTATTGGAACACCCTCCCTACTCACCTGATCTGGCCCCGAGTGACTTCTTTCTTTACCCGAGGATAAAGGAAATATTGAAAGGAAGACATTTTGCTGACATTCAGGACATCAAGGGTAATATGACAACAAGTCTGATGGCCATTCCAGTAAAAGAGTTCCAAAATTGCTTTGAAGGGTGGAGTAGGCACTGGTGTTGGTGCATAGCTTCCCAAGGGGGGTCCTTCAAAGGTGACCGTAGTGATATTCAGCAATGAGGTATGTAGCACTTTTTCTAGGATGAGTTCGCGAACTTAATTGTCTAACCTCATGTGTGTGNTGTGTGTGTGTGTGTGTGTGTGTGTGTGTGTGTGTGTGTGTGTGTGGCATAGCACAATAGTATTTAGACCCTATTAAAATTTGAAAGTAGGAACACCTGCCTTCAAGGATGTCCTGAATTAAGGTGATAAAGTCATCGTTTTTTCAAAATACAGGTGCTAATTTATTATTTTAATTGTTATTCTCTCCTTGAAACTTATATTCTAGATATGATTTTTAGTTAAAGATATTTCATAATTTCTCATTAATGTGAAACTATACACATATCATGGACAAACTGGAGTATGTCTTTCTATATTGCATAAAATTAGTTAATGTGATGAGAAAATCCACATTATCCTGTACATGTGACATATCTTTTAGAAAGATCATACTCTTATTGATAGTCTCAGTCAAGAACATCAAGTGAGACAGTTTATACAGTGCTTTTGAGTTCAGATATTATTTTATCACTTACTAGCTGCGTGACCTTGCACATTGCCCTGTTGGTTTTTTTTTGTTGTTTGTTTGTTTGTTTTTAGGGTATCTGCACTGTGATACAGAAAGGTCAATTACTATCTCAGATTAGATGTGAATCATAGCCCAGCTGGTCTAGTTTTACACAGGCAGGAAAACACAGAGCTAATTGTCACATTCTCTAGCCTTCCTCTCCCCAGCTGAAAGTCCCCAATAAAACTTTTGGTTATTTCCTGACCTTGTTATTTTCTTTCCATATTCATGACCTTGGAGTCATCTTTGACTCTTTTTACTTTGTCCTTTATAACTTATTGCTGAGACTTCCGTTGGCCACATTCTTTGCTTCATTAAATATAAAGAGGTTCATCTATTTATTATAACTTGATTCTTATTACACCAAACACAACTTGGTTCTGAAAACATCTCAAAGGCAGGTATGTTATCCCTCAAAATTATTTCGAATTCTGCACAGATCTTAATACAGATTGTTCATCAGAGTGGATGGTCAGTAAGCGTTCAATGGATAGGTACGAGTAATGTTAATTTTTTTTTTTACTGTTGACTGGTTAGTGTACACTTAACCTGTGTTGCAGAGATTCATTCATTTGGAAAACTTTTTAGAACTCAAATACTTAAAACACATCAGAACTACTCATTTTCTTTGCCATTTGCTGCTGTTTCAGTTGAAGTTCTGTGGATGTTTGGGGGTTGGAATAGAGCTCTAAAAACCACAAAGAAGTCACTAATGTTGACAGCCCTAAATCCCTCTGAAAAATAAGCACCTGCTCTTCTTATTTACTGTAATAACAAATGCCTGGTCTTTGTACAGGTAAAACGGGTTTTTTACATTTTGCAGAAGGCAATTATTTGATATTAAGACTGTAGCCGTCTTTGAAACTGAGTCATAAGACCTTAATCAAATATTGGGGGCATCTGATATTATGAAAATACCTTGGCTAAATATTAATGGAGAGAGTCTAGGCAATACTAAAGGCTTCAATGCAGTGTGCATCTACATATTATAACCATGTTTCACTTGCCGTAAGCATGAAGAACAAGTCTAAGATGACATCCAGATTGCTGATAAACTATTTCTATGTTTAATTGTGGCTTGCTTCAAAATTACGTTTTGGTTACTGACTGAGGTAAAAAGCTGCTCAAGCCTGTTAAAATTTTAGTAAAATAGAAAACAAAGGATGCACTTTATCTGCTTATGTAGCTCTGCCCATATTAGGTTATGAGCATGTTAGCAGTAATTATTTTTGCAAATGGCATTCTTAATGCCTACCCCACCCAGTATTTCACCCATAATATGCTAAATAATGAATGAATGAGTGCCTGATTCATATCACCCTAAATACATATATGCTTTGGGATCTATAAGGGTCATACAGAGGGTGCCAAAAAAATGTATACACATTTTAAGAAAGGAAAAAACTGTATTACGATTGTAATACTCAATATATACCGATAACAAAAGTATACATATTTTTGGCACCCCTGGTATATTATCTACTGCACAAATGAAACATAATTCAGGTAAAAATTCTAGAGCTGCATTGTCCAATATCATAGCCACTAGACACATGTGATCATCTACATTTAAATTAGCCTTTCATGTCACACTTACCCACAGAAGTGATGATGACGGTGAAACGGGTTTCATCTTGCCTCCCAGTTACGTTGTTGTAAGCACAGCACACATAGTCGGTTGTTTTTTGGGCTACTTTCTCAGGTGCGACTTCCAAGTGAGGCCCATGCTTAATGACATATGTGGTATTGTCAGTCCTCTGAATCCAGGAGTAGGTGTTGGGAGGATATGAATCAGCAGAACAATCAAACAAGACGGCTTCTCCAATATCAACAGTAAATACTTCCCTTACTTTTAGTCCTTTATCAGAATTAACTCGAAGTCCATAAGGGCCATCTGCATTAGTTGAAAAGAAAAAATAAAGGGGTAACATAAATAATCATGACATAGTTTATAAATTTGGGAGACCTTAGCAGCATTTTATTTTATGTGAAAGTCTTCATGTTAAACTTGGGCAAACAGGTCCTCATTTAGACTCCCAATTAATGATAAGGACCTAAAAATGTTTTATTCTGATATTCATGGAAATAGTAATTACTTGGGGTATGATTGAGCTTATCTGAAATAGTGAAAGCCTTGAAACCTAGTAGCCACAATTTTACAGACAGTGTCATAGTTGTGGTGCTAAGCTTTTGAGTAATATATTAATAAATATGCAATCTTGTTAGACAAAATCAAACTTTCTGAAACAGTAATTGCACTTGAAAACATTTTAAGAACAGATTATGGCCACTGTTTTCTCTTGGACAATCATACTTTGAGCATTATTTTTTTTTCTCAGTGCTAAGATATGTCATACAAATATTTATAAAATACATAGTTACACATGGAACATAAATTAGTGCAAATAGATATAGGAGTGTTCCATATTTTCATGACATTTTAACAGTTAAAGTATTTAAAAAATTCCTCTCCACAAGCTAAGCCTAGAGTTCCATTTGGAAAAAATACATCTTCATTATCATTAACAAATATTCATTGGTCATCAATAAACTACTTAGTCATGATATCCCATGGTGTTTTTCCTCACTCTGCAATATTCCTGTAGCATTTTGCTATTTCTGTAGCATTAGATTGTCTTCACGTGAAGATACATTTCCCATTGTTTTCTTCAGAGAATAAAGAGATATTTAAAAAATATCCCCTAGCTAGATAGGTTTTTCTCATTCAGTTTAAACCCTGGCTTCTATTCTAAAAACTTCAAGTTTTAGGCGTGGTTGTGCCCATTTTTCAGCTGATCGTAAGCAACATTTATTGGACATCTGCCCTCTGATGGCCCTTTAAGTACTTATGGAGACGACCATGAAGAGAAATGAATACCCTTTTCCTGTGACTGAGCTGGAACCCTCTCATACTGTTCTCTCATTTCAGGCTGTCATATGGTCTCAGGGGAAAACTGCTGTTTTAGAACTGTGTGCTGTAAAATGGAACCTCTTATTCTGAACTCCACTAAATAGTAAGCTGGGTAATAGGAATGAAAAGTTGTTTTCACTCACTTAACTAAAATCAGTGTTGAGCTGTTACTGTGCACATGACACCATCCAGGCACAGTGAGGCAACCTGAGGTGTCATGGACACGCCCAGTGGCTGATATCTCAGGCCCAGTGCAGCAGCACTGACAGAACATGGGGGAAGCAGAGGCCACCAACCAATGGGCACTGGTGGTTATGGTTCACACAGTAGAAAGCCAACGGGAGGGATCCACTGAGGTTTGGACAAGAGACCCGAGTCTGTGCACCAAACCTAGTCTGAGAGCCTTTCTGAGAGCAGAGCAAGGCAGCCTTGATAAAGAAGACAGGTGTGGTCATAAAACTACAGCCATCCAATTTCTGCATTCTCATTGCTTTTCAGGGTTTATAGAATGTGACTATAAAAAGAAATTGCCTGATAATTTAACATATAAAAATGAACGATATTTCATTCAAAGTGTGCTGACATTACTCAAAGCTTTTTTTTTTTTTTTTTGAAACTCCACATTTGGCATTGCCCTAGGACATTGCAACATAATGGAGTATTCTCAAAAGTAGTAATTCTCCCATTTTGAAGAGTGGGTTCGATTTGCAGAGAAAGCCCACAGTCACTTAGAGAAGGCTGGTGAATAAGTTTGATGATCTAATTTAATAACATCACTCTAGTTTAAAATAAAACGTGCTTCTAAAGAAAGGAATCTGATTATCTTAGCTTATCTTCCCTACACGTTTATTTTGCTACTTCCCCATTTGCTGGGTTTCGTGACTGGCATCATCTTTTGTCTTCTGTCTGCTTTAATTACATATTGTATCTGGCTCTGAAGAGTCAGCTCAAATCCCCCCAAGTCCCCCAGCCCCCCAGAAGCATCTCTTACAGTTCTTGGAACCTAACATCTTGAAGCATTTAAGTTGCTTGCCTCTGATATGATTTCTTAAAATGTAACATTTTACTTGATTAAATAACAAATACATGATCATTACAGAAAATCCTAAAATTCAGAGAAGAATAAAGATGAAAAGAAAAGTCATTTGTAATTTACCACTACTCAGAGAACATCCATATTTCACTGTGTGCTCTTCAAGTCTTTCTTCTATTTTCCCTCCCTTCCTCCCTCCTGCACACACACAGATCTATCTATCTTTCTATCTTACACCCTACACACTGCTCACGATCTGTTTTCTTTTTACCACACTGTGATTTTGCTTTTCTCATTTGCACTTCAGGCTGCCCATCCCTTTACTTTGAGGAACAGCTTGGTACATTATTCATGGGAATGCGCAATCCCATTGGAGACGTTTGGAGTGACTCCACCAGTGCGGCCTCTTACACTGAAGATGAAAGCAGAAGAGTAATTCTACTTTGACTTTGGATTGTGGTTCTGTTTCTTGCCTTGGGCGGAGAGCTCCTAATAGAAATGAACCCTTTGCCTCAGGAACGGCTGTTTACGAAATGACTTATAAAATCACGTATCATCTGTTCTCTTTAACAATTTATGGCTGGGCGGGAACAATACCTAAATTTTCATCATGATGCTGCTTGCCACCCTGCTTGGGAGCAGATGGTAAGTATTTACTGTGAATGACCTTTTTTTTTTTTTTCTTTAATTTTTATCGCTTAGAGTACTTCCCTTCAGCAGTGCCATATGTTACTCACAAAATGCAGTGGTTACCGGGTTATTATTTACAACTGGAGCTGGAAGGCATATACATTTCATGAACTGCAAGTAGATATTTGTCTGAATTACTGTCTTGACATTGTATTCTAAGACCAGTACCGGATTATGACATCATAACTTCATAAATATATGGTCAATCTTGCTAGATTTTGTTATATTTTTCTGCCAAAATACAAAATAATTCCTGTTTTCATGAAGAAACCTGTCATAGAAACAGTGCCTTAAGAAAAGAGAATTCATGCTGAAATTATAAATTACGATGCGGATCTCTATGGGGGAATATTGGAATATGACATTTACTAGATTATTGAGGAACTTTGCTACGGTCAGAAAAAAATCCCAACCATGAAGGGCCAAAGTTCTTTAAGAAGCTATTATCATGGGAAGTTAGCCCCTGTTCAGCATCATTAAGTAATACTGGAATCTGAAACACTGGATATGAAGAAAGATAATGTTTCAATTTAGTCAAATTCAAGAAATCCCTGTTGAGTTCTTAATCTGTGTCAATATTGCCCTAGGGATACAAGGAAGAATAATGCAGAGCTCCTATTTGGGGTTGGGGCATTTATGAGCAGAAGAGACTCAAGGGAAATAATAAGACAGTGAGTATCAGGGGAGGGATGGCATGGGTGCTGCAGGATCACAGTGAACTTCCTAGTGACACAGAAGAGGAGAGAGAAAGTGGTGGCAGGTGAGCCTTACTGGAGAAGATGTGAAGGGACAAAAGTGTGTAACCAGGCGCAGAAAGAGAAGTAGAAACTACATCAACTAAGGCACATATTCCCAGTTTGTATGGAATGATAAAGATTGCAAACATGTTGATGTCACATTGACAGAAGGATAAATGGCAAAACTTCAAATTATATATTTTATTTGATTCTTATAACCCCAAACCAAGAAAACAAAACAAAACAATAAAATAAGGCTAAAATAGTGATAGTAAAAAAAAAATCAATAAATTAACAAGACTGTGTTGTGTTTCTATATGTTATGTATGTTCTATACATGTTTCTATAGGTAATAATTACTTAGCACAAACAAGACCATGGTGTTTGACTTTTGAATCAAATCAAACTATGAGTAAATAAATGGATAAATGAATGAGTGAATGAATGAATATCATTAAGATGAGATGTTGACTAAGTGAAGGTTTTTGCATTTGAATGTAAAAATAAAAAAATAATAATACTATTTTCACCATTATCACTTAGTAAGAGTAAAAATCTTTCTTAAATAATCCAGATATTCACCTTTACAATGTGAAAATAAAACCCACATTTGTAAATTTTCTCAATGTTCTTCTTTCTACTATCTTTCATTAATCTGTACTCATGACAGACATTTCTCTGTGAGATTTCCATAGACTATGTCTAAAAGAATGTAAAGAAGAAAGTTCGGTCTGTAAATAGAAGATATGTTTGTGAAACCTGAATTTATTCAAATTGGGATATTTTAATTCTTTCAAATAACACAGGAAAGGAAAGAAGGTATAGAGTTTAAAGCATAATATTTAATATTTACAGGTGTGATTATGGGTTTTCTCTCCATTTTTATACTTTCCATACTGTGTATCAGCATATTCTGTGATAATAATGAGATTGGGGCATAAACTTGCACATGTTGAAAGAAAGATTTAGTTTTTACTTTGTTAGATTAAAATAAACTATGCAGCAAAACAAAAGGTAATTAAAAATGCAAATGATATTTTCATGTGCCTATAATTGTTTATGCACTCCCCAACCCCAGGAATTTTTCACTCAAATCTATGGCTAGAGTTTAAAGATAGGTAGACAGATGGAGAGATAAAGGATATAAGAAATAAATGATGTAAAAAAATATTTTCATGTAGAAAAATAAAGTATATTAAATTTAAAAATAGTAATGCTTAGGGAAGAAAAAAGTTCTTCTAAAAGTATTCTTTCAATTTTCTCTTTGCAGGTATCTTCTAAATTATCCAGGCTTTCCATAACTTCTTGCTGCCATGTTATGTCAGCATAGTTTTGGCTCAAAGGAAAAAAAAAAAAAGCTAACATTATTGAGTTCTTCCTATGTGCCGCTCATTATCTATACATAAAATTTCACTTAATCCTCCCCATCCCTCTTATACTGGGGACAGTGTAGATAAGCAGATGAAGAAACTGATGCACACGAAGGGGCCAAAGGAGAGTCATTTGCACACACTAGTAATGGCAGAACCAGGGCTTTAACCCGGGCAGTCTGAATTTACAGCTCAGGCTCATAACCACTGTGCTATCCATCGAATTCCCAGATGACATGGTGTTAACTAAAGCACGTGGTCCCAACAAAACATTGATCAGGTTTTCTTCAATAAACAAGGAATGCTCCAACACAATCTCACTTCCTGTTGTCTCACCACATTGAATCATGGTTCCTCAGGATTCATATTCAGTTGATAATATCTGGTTGGTTTAATATCTTGTTTTGCATTTTATACCTTTTGTATGTGAATGTAAACCATTTAGATGAAACAACACTGTAAGGCTGTGCTAGATTTGATTCACTTTGCTCACATTTTCTTGCACTGTGTAGGTCTGTGCTACTTGGAGTTGAATGGAAGTTTTAATTCATGTCAGAATAACCTTATTCAGTCAAGAATATGGCTACATGATAAATAGACTGTACCAAATATGAAATTTTCACTCCAATTCAATGCTGGTAATGCAGATCATCACTCCATATTTTCTCTGTGAATCTATTTCTCAGCCTATGCTTTAGAGCAGACAGAATATTTTCACAATGTTATCTGAATATAAGTTTATGTAAAACTACTGTAAAAACACAACTAAAAGGTCAGCTATAAAAATAATACCATTTTTAAACATAATACAGCTAATGTCTGTAACAAACCTTATAATTTGCTTGCAGTGTGTGGTGTTTTGGCATTTCTTGGTGAAAAACTGTAATTTCCTTCTTGTTTGCCACTCTTTAATAATTTTGTTTGTTTGTTTCTGAGTAAAGGAACTGGCTCATCTTTAAGACACTGAATTCTGAATTTACCAGGTTTAATTCTACCCTTGTGGTTCAACCAGCTAAAACCAGCCCCCTCGGGCCACAGGGGTGAGTTTTCCTCTGCCATGACTCACTTTTCTTGTTATGTTGCTGTTGTAGCTATGCTCTAAGCTGCAAGGTAACTGATAAGAAGACTTCTCCAGTGGGATAGGCCACTGGTTCTCAACTAGGGGAGATTTTGCCCCCTTTTCAAAGGTACTCTTGGTCCCTCAGGGAACATAGAGTGATGTCTAGGGACTTTTTTAGTTATCACATCCAGAGTGGGATTACCAGTGGCATGTAGTGGGTAGAAGCCAGGGATGCTGTTAAACATCCTATAATGCATAGGGTAGCCCCCATAACAAAGAGATGTTCAGCCCCAAATGTCGTTGAGAAACTGCAAAGCTGAAATTAGAATGCAATATTAAGCATGTTAGAGGTGGTACTATGGAGTAGAGAAGAGTGGGTTAAAAATACAATAAATAGGGCTGGCCGAGTGGCGCATTGGTTAAGAGTTGGCTTGGGATGCCAGCTCTGAGCAGCAGGGCCCCAGTTTGGATCCCACATTAGGGCCAGTGACACGGCGCCCTCTACAGCTAAGATGATGAACAACAGCTTGACCTGGAGCTGGGCTGCCATGAGTCTCCAGCAACAGCGAAGGCTGCCATAGAGCTGCAGTAGGCTGCCGTAAAGATACCTTGAGTGGCTGGCAGCCAGTGTGAGTGGCCAGCAGCTGGCGTGAGCTGCCAAGAGCTGCCGTGAGCAGCCATCCAGAGGCCGGCGACCGATCTGCCTCACCCGGGAAGAGCGCAATGATAATACCAACTTGGGCCAGTGAAGCAATGTCCTCCACAACTAGACTGAAGAACAAAAGAACAGCAACTTGTCTGTTCCCCTTCCCCCAATTCCCCAATGCTGTTCCCCTCCTCCAATTCCCCAATAAAATCTGAAAAAAAATTACAATAAATAGAGGGATCTTGTTTGGGTTGGTGATGATGTTAGGACATGAACTGAAGAGTTGGATGAACTTAGCTCTGTTTATGAGGTTAAACAACAACAACAGAAAAAAAGAACCAAAGAAAATTGAAATCTAAAATAATCACTGTTCCCTGGGAAACTGAATATCTTGCTGTGGAATAATGAAGTCTTCTCTGACTATGATCCTCCCTACACCCTGACTCTAAGAATAGAGCTAAAAATGCACAGAGAGAACAGCCATGCTTTGGAACACACTACCCAGGTGCTCCCCGTAACCTGGGAACATTCTTCTTCCCTATGATCAGCTACAGAGCACGTCCCTCTCCTAGTTTAAGATTACCAACTTTTTCCCCTTGGGGGTAAGTAAATTAGTGCCCTCCGCATGGTTCCAGGTTCTTGAAATTGAGGTTCCTATTTTCTACTAGAAATAGGGTCACACAATGGACTAAGTCACAAAAAAATGTATCCTGAAAAGCCCCAGGCCAGTATCTCAACTTGATCTTCGAGAGATAGGGTTGTGTAAGTTAATATATTTCATGGTAAACCAGTGCCTAGGAGGTGTGATTATAGCTGCATTCAATAATAGTGAAAACCAAATGACATCTGGTGTTGACAGTCTTTGTGACTACCCTTGTGAGAGCTTCCCAGAAGAAAACTCATATTTTTAAAACTTACAATATATGGTAGGCATAACGATGTCACTTTCCATTTCACTGACAGGGTTCTTCACCAGGCAACTGTAATTCCCAATGTCTTCTTTGGTCACTGGAGCAATATGAAGAGTGTTGTTTTGGAAAGAAAAGGAGTTGGTGGGGCTGGTATGGACAGGCCTCCCATTTTTTAGCCACTGGTAAACCAGCCGGGTGCCTCCTTCCACGAGGCATGTCAGGGTCATGTTCCCCACATACTCCACAGCCCCAGAGGAAGGCTGAGTGTGCACCACCGGTTTTGTGACAGGGTCTGCAATATCAAGAGAGACAGAAATGGGTTTTGCCACTATGGAGTTATAATGAAAGTCTATGAGGTCTCTCAAATAATAAATCCTGAGGAAACGATTCCATAGTTTTACGCTTTGTAAATGTAGACAGTTCAGGCAATAATAAAAGAAGAGAATTAAAAAGTTATAGAAAATACCAAATGATAAAATATAAAAATACCATTTATAGTAGAAATAACCACATTCAAGAATGTACTCTTCAAAGATTTTCTAATGAAAACCTTTGCTTTATAGATAATGTACTCAGTGGTAGAGGACATCAATTTCCTTTCCTGTTCATTGTGCTTTTGCCAACACCATAAAGGTTTACCCTCACAGACAAAATTAACATGGTTAGTTCCCTCTACTGATTTTGTCCTAAGGTCCCATGAGCAGCTGGTTGGGGTGGATATAGTGAACCCAAATTTCTATCCACTGTTGCAAAATATCAAGCTCATATATATTATACTTGTGAGGGATTGAGAGAAAGTTTTAGAGAATCATATACGTATCATTTACTTTTCCTTCTATGTGAGCGAACTAATAATGTGTTTTCATTGCTTTTCATTTGTGTTGCAACATTACGTTCATCACTTTAACAAACCAACACTGACTTAATTGAAAATAGGATAAAATGTGTGACTGGGATTACATCAAATTAGAGATATAAAGGACAAATCCAATAGAAATTCCTATTGGAACTTCGAGACATAGGAAAACAGTTTTGTCATGAGTCTAGTACACTGTAGTCATATAATATCTGTCAAATGAATAAATTTCCAAGGAGTAAATATTTCCTTCCTGGATTTTAACTCTAAAACTATTGGATAAGGGTGGAAGTTATTTAAGTATCCACAACCATTTTCAGCAACCTTCATTCATCTTTGAGGTTCCTGACTTTGATAAAGGTCAGTGACTTGCCCAGAGTTGCACAGCAGTCAGTGGCACAATGAAGAGGGCTTTAAATCAGGCAGTGTTTCTCTCCAGCATTTTGGAGAGATATGCATTTACTATTATCCTCCTGTGTATGACTACAGGACACAGAGAGAGGCAGATGATACATAAGTGACAGGTGATTGGCTCCAATAGTAAGATTTCAATTTCCTATTAGGCTTTTAACTGGGGTTGATGTATCTTTTTACGTAAATCTGCCTCGACTCATACAGTTTCCTATGCTGGAAAACGTTCTTTATGGAGCAAACAGACCCAAGCCTTCAGCCCAGAGGAGAGAGGAAAACATGCAAGATAAGGAGAAAGGAGTTGAAAAGCATCCTGCAGGGCAGCTGAGTAGTTCTGAAGCTTCCAGCCTTCCTCAAGGAGGGTGCGATCAAAGGGCTTGACCATTTAACTTAATCCTTTTTATTTTCTGGCAAGAATAGAGGATTGGGAATAGCTTTTGTTTACATTATTATGATTTATAAAGAAAAATGAGTTGTGTACATTTATTATAATACATAAAAAAAATCTTATGTTTCAAATATGTCTGTGTGTGGAAATACACGTGGTGTGAGGTAAATCAAGTAGGTAACATGTCGAAGGTCTCATATGGGGAGAGTCCATAATTGGAGTAGACATTACTATTGTAATCACACATTTGCCTAAAATAGTGTAACTCAGACGTGGAAGTTCCCCGAAAAGACTTTTTGCATGGGTCCTAAACCCTTATTAAGGCTTTTTGGTTGCATATCTGTAAACAGCTGCAATTTTACTATACGTGAACAGGTAATGGATGTTTTATTAGAAGTTTGGGGGAGAGATAGGATAATACAAAGGAAAATTTCATGAAGATTCCCTTTAGGATTTTCTCCTTTCCACCCCCCCCCCCCCGATTTGCCCTCTAGGCATCTGCTTCCACATCCTGTGCATTTGCTCCACTGCAGTCTCTCTCATCTCCACTCATTTACTGCACAGAGATACACCGAGTACCTACTAATGGCCAGCAACAGGTTTTAGGCACTGAGGACAGAGCAGAAAATAATACAAAACCTCTGCTCCTACGGACCTTGTAATCTAGGTGGGAAAGAGAAACAATAAACAAATAAAACTATATAATACGTCAGATGGAAGTAAGTGCTGTGACAAGAACTCAAGATAGACTTGCATTTCTTCTCTTTCTCTCTCTCTCTCTGTATTTGGGGGAGTGAGGTTATACTTTATATAAGGTGGACAGGAAAGGCTTCACAGATGAAGTGACATTTGGGCTGACACCTAAAGGAAATGGGGGGGGGGGCGGGGATGACCATGCTGTTATCTAGGAGAAAAGCAATCTATGTAGGTAGAGGGAACAGCAAGTACAAAGGCCTGAGGTGTGAGCATCTTTGGCCTGATCTAGAAAGAGCAAGGAGACCAGTGTGGCCAGAACAGAGTGAAAAGAGGTAGGAAGTGGAATCACATAGGTGTTAGGTATGTTGGGGAGATCATGGTGGACCTCGTAGGCCATTGTTAGTGCTCTTTTATTGTGGGAGGATTTTAAGCTACAGGAGGCAGGAGTGGAAGCCGGGAGGCTAGGGGGCAGGCTTTTGGGGCAGTCTAGGCTGGAGCTGACCGTGGGGTGCAGTGGGGCAGTCACGGGGGTGCTGAGCAGTGACTGAACTCTGGAATATTTTGAGGGTGAAGCTGACAGGATTAACTCACGGGCTGGATGTGGGATGTGAGAGAAAGAGGGGGTCAATGATGACGGCAGGTTTGGTGTAAGCAACTGACGGAATGGAGTTGGTATTTTACTAAAAGGGAGAAATGTTTAAAAAACAGGTTTAGAGGGAGAAATGAGAAGTTGGGCTTTGGACATAGTATATTTAAGGTATGCCATTTATATACCTTAATAAGGAAAATAAATATCTGAAAGTTAGCTGACCCCACTCTCTCTCAGAGGACATTACCAGCAACTTCTGTTGTCCCTTAAGTATGGTCCTTGAGCAAGTCTCATTTCCGCCCAAACAGTGTGCCAAAATAAAAATCTTCATGTGACAAAAATAGGGCTCTTCCCAGGGTGCATTCTGCTACTGAGAAAATAAAAATTTCTCCATCTCATTATGCCAGCAACTTTATACTTGATAGTTTCCAGGCAAACAAATACATTCTACTTATTGCTTGATTACCTTTAGCTGGGCGTTGTGCATATCCTTTACATGCATGTCTCATTTAATCCTCAGAAAGCCTCCTGAGGTAGATAATGTCACTCGTGATGAGACACTGAAGCTTTGAAGGTTAAATAATTTGCCCAAAGTTGCAAAGCCAGGACCTAAAGCCCAAGCAGTCTAATCTCCTGAGGCATTGCTAACGGCCATGTTCCCCAGCTGCCCATGTCACTTATAGTGGACTCACCATCAACAGTGACTTGTATCTTCTGATGAGCTGACAGAGTTCTATTTCCATGAATATTGACCTTCACGATGTAATTGCCTTCATCAGTGAACTGCAGTGGGTTGATGAGCAGAGACGCATTGGGTGGCATCATGGTGAACTTGTGTCGGTATTCCAAGTCGGGAACCACAGACTGGTTCACGGAGCCCAGTAAGTATTTAGGCATCGTGTGGGGTCTCTCAAACAGCCATATGATCTGGATATCTGATGCCGGAGTGTGGAATCCATAGTGCACAGGGAGGTAGAGGGCCTGACCCCTGATGCCATGGATGGTGTGTGATGGCACTGCCACCTTCAGCCCTGAGCAAGTGCCTGTTACAAAGGAAAGGAGAGCAGTTAAGACCCTGAGCCACATTTCACTATCTAAAGAGGCAGCACAGAAAGAACCTGATCAGGCGATAATCCCTTTCAAAGAAGAAAGGCTTCTAGGTACTGAACATTCTAGTATTGGATACCTGAAGAGGTAAATATTTGTCTCTGAAGCCTTCTGCATTTTAAAAGCTCCACCCAAAGCATGACTTCTTAAAAGGCAAGATGAAAAGGAAAAGCAGAAGTTATTATCTATGACTGTTAAAGAATAATGGGAAAAGGAGAACTGGGAAAGAGTATTAGTTCTAAAGTCCATGAAACCTTTAAAAACTTTTGAAACTGTGACTGTATTCATGTTTGAGTCATATCATATCCTAATGAAACTGTGATTCGAGAAACACTGAGGGGCCACTTCCTTCCATGACTTCCTCCAAAGTCTTTTGAAATGGCTTAATAGTCCATTATTAGAAGTTTTTTTCCTTTTATAGCTAACACCTTGCCAAATGCAGATATCCCAAGCAGAGTCGGCATTAAACCATTATCAGTCCTGATCAGTCGTTCCTGCCCAGAGGCAGGAATCTGATTGGAGTGTTTGAGAAACAGCAAGAGGTAGGAGCTCGTGGAGCTGAGTGGAGGAGGTAAGGCAGTGGGTCAGCAAGGTGGCCAGGCTGGATTGGGCAGTGCCAGAGGCGCATGGAAGACACGCGGAGTGAGATGGGGGTGTGACTGGAGTTTTGTGAGCAGACAGGGCTATGACCCTTTTTATTTATTTATTATTTTAAAATTGTTTTTAGGTGTACTCTAGCTGCTGTGATGACAGACTGAAATAGGGACCAAAGCAGGGGCAGGAGACCACCTAGGAGGTGACTACAATAAAGTAGGCAAGAGATGATTGTGTTGGAGAGCAGGATGACAGCAAAAGATAAGGTGAGAGAAGCTTGGTGGTGCTAACAGGATCTGATAGCACACTGAGGGCCAAATAGAAGAAACCAAAGCGTCAAGAAATGATTTCAAGGTTGTTGACCTGATCAACTGGAAGAACGGAGTTGTTCTTTATCAATGGACAACCAGTAAATTCATCATGGGGAAGACTGTGGGGAGAACATGTTTTCTGGAAAGATAAGGAGTCAGTTTTAGACATGTTCATTTTAGAAGTCCATTGGACATCCAAGAGGGAATGCTGAAAGGCTATACTGGGCATGAAAGCCTGATTAAAGTGGGTTATGAGGGAGCGAGGGTCCTGGAGGGCCTTGGGCCATGGAGCTCTGCACAACGCATGCGCCTGGCTCCTGGCTCCGGGTCTCCTGCCTACCTGGGTTGTTTGGGCCCAGGTACTCACTGCTATGTCTGCAGGTTTCTTTCTAGTTTCTGGCACTTTGAGATTGCTCCATCTTTACTGTGAGCCCAGGACACATGGTTTTATTGTATCTAGCATTTCCATGTATTTGCAGTTGAGAAGAGTTTTCCTTAGTTTAGGCTGCCATGTTGTTAAGGTCCTAATTAAAATCTCTTTGCCTCAAAATCCTCATTGTAAAAACAGCAATATGTGCCCACACCAAAGGAACATCGAAATAACAGGGGAGGGAGTGGAAGGGATTTAAATGTGAAGCATTCTGAGCAGTGAGGGAACAAAGAGAGAATGCAAAGGAAATCGGAGACAACGTGTAGAGACAACACTTCCGGGGAGCTTTGCTGTGAAGGGGAGCACAGTAAGGGGAGGCTGAACAGCATGTTTGTCGCTATTGGGATGAAGCACTAGAAAGAGAAACCTTGATGAAGCAGAATACAGATGGATGAAGATGGAGTAAAATCCTGGGTGCGAAGAGATGGAAATTTGGGCACAAGTAGAAATATCTTACCATTGTTATCGCACAGAAATAGTTTGTCCACCAGGTGCTAGCAGAGCCAAATACTTAACAATGAGAATTGCAGTGGAGAAGACTGGCTTAGTTTATTATGAATGCACCACCTAGGAGAACTGGAAACTAAGGCTCAAAAGCCGGAACTCTTCGATGGCATGTGGGTTACAGGTTATAAAGGGCAAAATCACAAGATATCATGGGATAGGGGCTTGAGGTGATGTTGGGAGCTGATTGGTTGGAGGCGAGGTAAAGGTAATCAATCATTTCTTCAGGTATTGAGAACAGCTATGAGGTCTGCTCTGGCGCCCCTCTGTCTGGCTTCATGGAAAAGTAGCCAGGGGTTCGTTCCACCTTAGGGCTCGGGAGCTGAAACAGAACTTAGATCAAGATGTTATCTTTAGCTTAACAGAAACCCATCCCTTGTGACCCTTAGTCCTGGCATGGCCATTGTTTCTGGCTGCCTCGGGGGTTAATGACTAGTAAGGGAAAGGGCTAAGACTCGCAGGGCATGCTGTGAAGAAACCGAATGGAGTGCTGGGGCTACGTATTAAGTCAAAACCGTACATTAAATCAGGATCCACAGTTTCACAATTTCAATTTTCTCATATAGAAAATATATCTTCTTTGATTCCTTCCCCTTTTCATCCCTACTAGGAAGGGGATCTTCAAGCTCTAAGTCTTGTTATGAAAAGCCATCAGTATGAGGACGGGAAAGGTAGCAAGTCCTGTTGTATGATGATTTCTTTGGAGAAAGTGAAAGACGTAGGGCTGCTCCTATGAGGAATCAAGTTCTACCAACAGTAAATTTCTCTCCTCCCTTCCCAGGGTGGAGGTGAAAGCGAAGATTTCCATGGCTTCTGTCTTTGACTAGCTGTTAGCAGAAAGTGAGATCATTGGGCAAGCAGGGAAGTGAGAGCAGATAACTTAGGAGGAGAAAGCACAAAGAGGAAGATCAGAAGTTGGAGGGAGCAGGGACTCCTCGATGCTCAACTGAAACTGACTACATGGACTGAAAGTTAGGTGACTCTGTGGGAAAAATAAATATGTCTTTCAGTTTCCTTGGGCTCTGTGTGTATTTGTGAATGACTTTTAAGTTTTTCTTGTTTGTTTGTTTTTTTTTTTTCTTGGTAATGGGCCGTACCTGCACATTCATTTTAGTGATTTGGTCCATAACAAAGGTACGAGGATTTGCTTCTGTTTTCTTTTCTGGCAAGTTCCAGAATGTTAAATTTGTAGTTGTTCCTAATTTGAATCATTAGAAAAAGAACGAATAGGTTGCTGGGAATTCTAAGGAGGAGGTAAAGTGGATGGCAGAAAAGGAGTAGTAGTTTCTGCAAGGAAATCATAAGAGAGAGAAGGGAAGGTGAGAGAGTGAATCTGGGACTTCAAACTAGGGGTGTCTGAGATATGTGAAGCAGAGGCTGACAGAACAGAATGAAGCCCTCAAAGTCACAGATTTATAAAGACACCGGGCATTTCGATGGGAGACCAGTACAGGAAAAGAGTCCTCTTAGTACACGTGTTATCTGTGCAAAACAACATGCATTTACATGGCTTTCATTGAAATTGGTGATAGGAAGCCCTGACAAGTTCCTGATAAGCAATACTTTAAAAATTAGTTGTTTTAGTACCCATTATTAGTAATTTAGGTAAAATTCAATTTCCGCCATATTTATTTTGTTGCTGTCTTCCTTTTTACTTGAGCGCATATGAAAATATTTATGAGGGTTTCATCATTCACTCCTGATCTTGGACTCCTTTATCCTACTTCTACCATATAGTCTTAAATCCATCACTTGCTAATTGTCTTGAAATAAGGGATTTTAGGAGCTAATTCTCTGAACTTGCAGAGAGGTTACTTTATTTGCTACTTTGATAAAGTTAAAAATTCATTGACTGTGAGGTGTTAGTAAAGGACACATCCTTGGCATAGAATGAGGATTGGTCAGTTAAGTGACCTCAGTCTTTATTCTCTAGACCTGTTTTCTCCTGTGCAAAAACGGGTAATATTAGATGAGGTCTAAGGCCTCTCTTACTGTATGTTGTTGACATTCTGAGGTGCTTTTCTCAAAGAGTAGCAGCTACCCTACATTTGAAGGTGAAGGGTCCATATTTAATTGAGAGAGGGCCAAAGAACTTTGAAGTATCGAGTCTCAGGGTTCAGTTCACTTATTAGGTTGTCAATCCCTGGATACTCTTTAATAAATTGGCAAGTCTGTGTTTCTTACCAAGGAATCAAAAGGGATGGTGGAATCCACATCACTGTCTTGAGAATGCACTGGAAAAAGCTGAATGGCTGCTGACATACAACTCAGTAGTTGCCTCTAATAGTGAACCATTTGGTCACTGATTTGTTGATCCATTTAATACATTTCACAGCCCCTAGAAACCACTGCTACACTGAGACGGAGAGCTACAACAGATGGCCTGAACATGATTCTGGCCAGTCTGTTCTTGTCGTTTGGGGATGTCATTGCAAAAGTCCTTCTTTACTTTTTTTGAAAAGGATAAGAGCTATTTCTTATCTACTTTTTTTGTAGTTGTAGTTGAAAAAGATTAAGCGATATTGTAATATTACGAAATGGTTTGAAAACACTTTATTACTGTGGAGTGCTAGCATGACTAGGATAGAAATGTTGATGTCTGTCGGGTCTTCAATCAGAATGCTGAATCTTAAGTATGAAAAGCCTGGTTAGAGAGTCTACCACTGAAGTTATGGGAAACAAATTTTATTTAATGAAATATTAAATACGAACATTGCAGCCCACGTTAAAATGAAACTATTTTAGTAGAAAATAACATTTTTATGGCAATTACAATATTGTTTGAGGAGGGTAAACTAGTTCTTTGGGCTATCTTAGAGACTGCAACACATAATAATACCTTAAATGATATATTGCCATTAATATCTCTGAATATATATTCAGTGCTCATCACATTAAATGATACAAAGTCATGTCATTTGAATTTTTTTCAAATATATATATGACCATGAGAGAGAGCACAGCTGTTACAATAGCTGTTTGCTTAGGTGGCCTACACCATTTTTTCTCAGATAAATTATAGGTAGCAAGTTATAAGAATGTCATCAAGGAATAAAATTTTCTTTACACAGTATCTTATCTAAGCCACCTAAAAGAT